CTTGCCCGGCCGTCGCACTTGCGACCACTCGACCAACGAGGCAGTCAAAACAAATTATTCTTCTTAAAGAAAGCTGTTCTAATAACTACAATAGAATAATTTCATTAGGTACGTACACACATTTAGTTGCAACCTAATTTGTTTTATAGTTAACATTCTTTCAAAATATATCGTGCAAATGTAATTTTTACGATGTATCAACAGGCTTAGGAATCGTCCATTGTAAATTGGTTTTGGCAAGAAACCAAGAACAAATGAAAAGAATAAAATGATTTCGCGATGATTATTTGAGGACTGTCTTGATGGTCTAGTGCTTCTTAACGTGAATACTGATTTTTAGGTCTTATAAGTTGGTTAAAGTCAAAGTTAAAATCATTTATTTTAATTAGACCCGGAAGGCAAATTTGAACGTCAAAATAAAATATCGAAATATCAAATATAATCTTCATGTGTCGGTTAGTCCTCTAGTGAAGCTATTTGCTCGTTCCAATGTATAGATTTTGATAAAGAAGAACAAGCAAGAAACTCCATAGGTTACTCTTTTTCAATCAGGTAAAGATTAATAGCGATTTTCATTAACTCGTCGAGTACCGGTTTTGAAGACACAATTATAGAACAATAGGTTGCGGTCACCGGTGACCGCTTGGTGTTTGACAGTTTAATAAAATATCGAATACTGAATTCATATCTTTATCCACGTTTTATTTTTTGGTCTTCAATGTCAAGGAAAGCCGTGTTATCATTCTTATTAAATGTCGTGACAAACAAACAGCCAAGTCATACTTAGAAAACTATTAGGTATTAATTTGAAAAACAGATTAATCTATTAACTCGTCGAGTACCGGTTTTGCAGACACAATTATAGAACAATAGGTTGCGGTCACCGGTGACCGCTTGGTATTTGACAGTTGACCGCTTGGTTTATGATGAAATAGAATAGTATACAGGTGAACCTAGGAAGCATTGCGTGCCAGGTCTAGATACGAGCTGAGTCATTGGCACACCTGATCGGTACAAAGGTTAGTAGGGATTGGGTTTTACACGCTGTTATGGAATAAACATCGTTAGAAATTGCTCATGTTAGACCATGACTAGTCTAACATGAGCAATTTCTAATTCAATTTCATGACTAGATGGTTTTTAATGGGACCTCCCAAAACCTCTGCAACTCCTGTACAGTAGATACATCCATGAAAACACCGGAACACTGAAGTCCGGCGCGTCCCAGGGACATAAATAACTGTCTTGGTTCCCGCAACGAAGTAAATCAGAAAATATGATAAAAAACGATAGTAGTATAGACTCCGTGCTACTAATGAGATTTTTTTTAAAACTCTATAGTACTTTGCCCGACCCGGGAATCGAACCGGAGACCCCGACAGTCGCACTTGCGACCACTCGGCCAAGGAGGCAGTGACTTCTTTTAATTGTAACATATTCTTTTCATCCGGTTTCACTTGATATGTTATCGCGTCATCTATTCCGATATCGTTTAATTGCATCGTTTTGGCGGCCCATGTCGGATGTTTTGCACGCTTCATAAAATGAGAGTGACATAATGCAACTTGGGCCAGCAGGTGCCAACTGAAGTTACCTTTAAAGTCATCCAATCATATTTAGATGTTATGAGTCATTATGATATTATTTTTACTATTTATTCCGTTAAACGAATTTTTAAATCATTCTTTTTGACATTGTAATTAATATTTGATGCTATTAAAAATATTGGCATTATGATTAATATTTTTTTCACTGGAACCAGTATGTAACTATGACACTTATTTTTTTATACTATTTGGTATTAAATTTGTATTTATTTTTGACATAACAATTTGGACAAAAATGTATTATTTTTCAATGAATTTAGTTTAATGAGTATTATTGTATCAAATGAAGATTATTGTAATGTCTAAGATTTGCATGAACTTAACTTATTTAATATATATACACCAGAAATGGTAGTATATGTGAATCTATGTTTAATGTAAAATCTCAGTGTACCATGTACTTAGAAATATCTTTATCTTTACGGGTTTTTTATTTAAAAGTATATTTAAAAAAGGTTGTTTCAAATTGATTCATCCGTTTTATAGTAAACACTTCGTAAAGAATGTAATGAAGATAAATAAATATTGTCTTACGCACTTATTTATAATTTGACGAATGCTGCTAAAGATTAGTCTTAAAAATACAATTTCTTATATTTATTTTTACCTCGACTCTTACTCGACACGGTTTACTTAGAAAAATAAAAAAACAAAACGTAATCACAAAAAAAAACAATTAGTCTTACCTCTCAACCGAAAAAGTAGTAGCATGTTGTCTATTCTCACGTCTACAGCTATGTTGCTTCACTATGGCCGCGCACCTGAAAAAAAAAATTGTATTAGCTAAGAAAATTCAGTGTGCTAGCATTTTGTTTGTTTTCTTTTATCTTAGACTATAATAATATATGTTTATAAGAAAAATAATGAATACAGTATAATGAGTTTCTTTTCTTTTTGTCTCGATAATTGCCTGTCAAATATAATATTCGTATTGTATTGATTGTAGCAATTATATTAACAATTTGGCAGTAGTTTTATATTGAAGAGTGTACCATGTTAATTGAATATATGTAACTATTATTAATAGTATTAATCGTGGAAAAACATAACAATAAGTATTATTAAATTATATTAAGTGAGCGTTAGAAAATTTATAAACAATTATGATATGATTTCAACTGCATACTTAGTTCAGATAATGTTAGGTTAGTAAATTAATTAAGTAAAAAAAATAGGCTCTTATAAAAATAATCGTGTGTCAATTAAGTATTGGTAAGGCCCTTTGTAACTTTATTAATGTATTATTTTTTTTTGTATTTGATGGGTCAGACGTTTGGCCACTATCTCGCCTGGTACTAAGCTATGATGCGATGGAGCACGTCTGCCCATAACCAATCTATTCACGAGGGCCTTAAGACACCCAGGTAATACAGCACGGTTAGTGCGGTAACTGTGCAACCGGCTGGTGTGCAACGTGTCGCGGGGTCGATTCCCGCACGGAACAACACTTTGTGTGATCCACAAATTGTTCTTTCGGGTCTGGGTATTATTGTGTATGTGAACTTGTATGTTTGTAAACGCACCCACGACACAGGAGAAAATCAAAATGCGGGGCAACAAAAAAAAAAATACCCTTGAAAACACTGGCAAAGAATTCCACCTCTTTGAAATTCACACAAGGCAGTTTGAAGCGAAGTCCTTCGTGCGATTGAGTGAAGATTAACTATTAACCATTTCACAAAACATGCATATGTATGTTCATAACTACACACATATATAGAGGTAATTTCAATTAATCATGACCTTTGATATAGCACGGCTATAAACGCATGTTATTCTCTGAGGACTAACCCTTAATGGCGTACATAAATTAACACTTAACTACTATATACAAGTGATTAACATAATGACTTATGTATGTGTAATATGAACACATACGATCACGATTTTTATTCCCTAAAGAGATGTTGATGTAAAGTTAGTTCATCATCATCATCGGCCCGTATTAGTCCACTGCTGGACATAAGCTCTATCTAGCCATAAAATTATTTACATGACAGCAAATTTTTATGTGGTTTGAAACAAGAGCTAAGCTAAGGGTTAAAACCTTTTTAAGAATAAAAAGGGGTTTTTTG